TCGATGAAGGATTAAGTTTCCTCACCGATGGATGATTGGACTACCCAGGGGCAAAAACTGACTATTAGACAAGTCTAAATGAAATGTATTGCAAAAGTTCTGGTAAACTTGCACGTATTCGATGATCGGTGTAGGGCCCCGCTAAGATCTGCGTGTAGGAAAAATGTGTTTGCACAGGGACCCAATAATCCTTGTGTCAAATCTTGTCTGGCCATTTTCACCTAAGCCTTTTCGGTTTCACTGTGGAGTGTACTTACCCGGACCGTTTGTCTGAGAGGTTGTTCATGAATGAGGAGGTTATTCGAATGAGAAAAAAAAGCTCTCTGGTTTTCATTAGTCAGTCTAAAAGGAGTGCATAAAAAGCTGCTGGATTTTACGATTTACCCATTTTCGAAAAGAACAACAAGAGGTTTGGGTAGGCGTACCAATGAGAACAGGTGTTTACTCTTATCATAACTACCATCCACCCCTTTCAATACCTCTCCTTCTATATATGGAAGATCATATTCAAAGAAGATCGAAGGAAGTATCAAATGTCCATGAACCCACATGTTGTGTGTTTTAAGGGAATGATCAAGAAGGATTTCAGTATCCGTAGGCGATATGAGCGGAGATGATATGACAAGAAGGAGAACGATTCCGTTGAGTTGACTTTGTTTCTGCGATTGCTCAATTGACCTTGAGATATTTCACGTCACAATCACATCATACTTATTTTGGTTTGGTTGTCATTCTCGCATTCAATGTCGTGTTGGTTTTATCTGTAGTGATGAGGCAAAAATGCAATGCCTGGGAGACTGGTGGAGAACGCGTGTCATCTCACGTTTGTATATCAGTCTGCAGCCACGAATCTGAGAGGTCCTCAACTCATTGACCGATGAACTGAAAAATATTTGGACTGATTCGTATGGCCGAGTAAGGGTACATTTAAAGAAGCCTTGAAAGCCTTGAAAGGAAGTTTCGTTGGAGCTTGGTTGTCGTCCGAACTGCTAACCTCGGTAGAGGTTTTCTAAAACCCTAAGCAGAAAAATTATAAGATTCGCGTTTTAGGTTCTTTTTTTGAGGAACTATCCAAGTGCAGGTAATATCCTGACCAAGCCTCCATGCAGAACACGGATTACTCAAATGATCTCTCTGGTACTCTGATTACAAGAGCGTCGAGTATGTTCAGTGAGATTCTCCCCTCGAGATCACCAATTAAACGTAAATTTCGGTGAACTCTGATTAATTCCTCCGATCCGCAATCAACATCCTCAGTTTCATGTATAGTAGGATAAATTGTCTCAAAGGATCACTCATATAAAATAGTTATTCTATTTGTAGAGTCCAGACAGGATTCAGCTATGCGCCAAAGACAATGATCCAACCAATCTGCATCTGGTTTTTATATTCAGAAATGACACAAGACAAAACACGACACAATCAATGAAATAATGCCATTCAGAAAGGGAAGTAAACATAATATGAAATGGGTTTTTGCGTCCTAAGCAGGTCAAACATTCTTTGTAGTATTGCATCAAATTGATCCATGTCGCTAACGTATATGAAATACTCGTTCAAAGATAACCCACATAGCCCAGTAACACAAAACTCTGTCTCAAACTGTCTCGGTCTCAATCACAGAGGGTCAGTTCCGGGGGTTGAAATACGTTAGGTGAACTGCCATCACTATGCCCTTAACCAAATCAGTTATCATTCAATCAGGCCGTATAAATATGCATTTTTTGCTATTTTTATCTTTTGAGACCATTAAACTCTTTTAGGCGCAGTATTTTACATCTGTGTTTATTTTTACTTGTTAGTTGCACTTGACGAGGTATTTGCAAACGTTTTACCATCAGTCGAGGTTTTATTTTCATACGCCCGCACCGAACATTACAGATCATCAAAATTTGTCAAGTTCGGTGATCAAATGAAAATTAGTTCCATTGACCAGGGCTAAAGAAATTGGTTTACATTAGTTAGTCCATGTTACATCTGTATGAGTTGTGCTTCTATGCAGTTTATGGCTACATTGGCATTTGACGGCAGGTCAGGCTGACTGATGTAGCTTGAGTGCACGGGAATTATCTTCGTGGACATAAATGGACGATACTCAGCTGTATCCAGGTTAACCTTCTCAATGCCACCGTGAAAGATGCTACATGAAGTCTAAATGTGAACTATCACATTATGCGGGAGAAATCAAATCAGATTTATTCATCAGAGAAACAACAGGATTGATCGGGGATCGACCATCTTTGCTTAGTAGCACCAGAAACAGAACTGAGTTTAGCTGAAACTAACTTTTTAGAAGTAAGACGAGAAAGTAATACTAAATGTGACTGACTGACCTCCAGACTGCACTGGTTTGCATTATTCTCGGTTCATTCAGGGGCACTGTACATCATTTCCTCAAGCTTTAACCAAAACTCGAAGTACTTAAGCCTCTATATGCGTTGGGAATATTTGTGCTAACCGACAAAGAGCACTGGACAGATGTTCCTCCTGTTTTGGACTCCTCAGCAGTGCGTACTTTTGTGTCCCTGTCACGACTCGAATCATGAACATTTGGGTAAGGTCTTCAAACCCTTACCACTGAGCTACACGGTCGATGGTTATCACCTTGTGCGATTTGTGGATACATTGACGGTAAAAATCCATCGATCAATACTGGTCCATATTTCGGTAACTTAAAGATGATGTCAGTTGCCAGGTATTGAGTAAAATTTTATAAAAAAGAACGATGTTTTGTCTGGAGTTATTCGTGTCATACTTGATTTCATCAGAAATCGAACATTGATGTTGTTTTTGCCGAACAGAGATAATCAGATATTCTATTGAATTTGAACTTGGTTAACCTTCAAATATTCTCTAGGATTGTGAAATCAACTATCCATCTCGACTGAATTCGTATCATCATCATGCTATTCCGTTTACTCGAAACCGAAAGTTATAGGAAATGAAAACGGAATTCACATACTGGAGCAGAATAGTAAACATAAGTGTTTCTTAGCGGTCTGAAACATCTGAATTTGTGTTTTACCAGAGAAAGTTTCCGGTTACATCTAACCACAGTTAGCTTCCCCATCACTGAGTGAATTGTGACATCACGTATTGGTCCGTTTGTCGGAAAAATAACACTTCAGTTGAGTCAACATAAACGAATTTGTATGAAAATGTTCTGGTGATGTTTAAGGGAAGAAATGGGTCGGATGTTTGTGGTATTGGGTTTTTGGAGCAAAGCCTATTGTGGAATGATTCATTTGTGGATTCGTGCGGTATGAAAATCAGAGTCAATCTTGCATTCACAAGTTACTCGTTATTTACCGTATTAAACAGTATGGGGCCAAATGGGTTTCATGATTTAAGCAAGCTGATATACCGTTTTAGTTATTGTTTGTCAGTTCTTGCTGCCAAATGACAAGAACAA